AATAAAAGGCTTGATTGGTAGAACAGAGCTCATTAAAACTTAAAAAATATGAGTAAAGTATAAAAATCTCAACAAATATTTCTATTATAATTTTCGTGCCACATACTTATTTAATTATCACGTTTTTCGGCTTACTCACGTAATTATTCGACGAGGAACTCGACTAGTTTCAAGCCATACTAGGGGCTCGTGAGGCGCGAGACTCAAGTAGCCCATCGCAGCGCGACAGTTGCCGTATCGCGGCTACAGGGTGGCAAACCGACGATACGCCACGGGCCCCCAGCTAGGAAGGGCCCCTGTTCCGAGGTTTTCATCTGAACTTCTCTGTTTTTTATTGGGAACCAGGACCCATTCGATGAATTTGCCACGGGCCCCAAAGGGTTATACCTAGTTACGCCACTGCTGCTCATTAATATGAGCCTCAATCATAGCTTCCAACTAGTCGAATTCCTCGTCGAATAATTATGTGAGTAAGCTAAAAACCATAACAATTAAATCAACAAATATTGGTTATAAATGAGAAAATAAATTTGACTATTAAATACCTGTTTGCTCGCCAAACGTGACCGACTATCGCGGCGTACCGTGCGGAAGGATTGAGCCAGTAGCGGCGAGCTGTCACCAATGTCGGGCCAACACCCCTAAGAGCAAGAGGCTATACTACTTTGTCACGGTAATAATATCACACAGTATTCCAACTTCATAAAACCTATGAAACGCGAGCTATACCTACGCGCCTCGGTGTCGGGGGGTGCGCTCGGGGCGTAGACAGGCACGGCTGTACCTACCTGGTTGCCACCCGTACTTTATAATAAAGTATTGTACGTTATTTAAGGTAATTGTACTCTATACTTTATAAGAATAATAAAGTACACGAAAATACTTTATATTTGCAAACTTCATTTCTATTAAAGTCGTGAGTATTTTTCGGTAAACTTATCGATATTATATTTATCGATCGGTAAACTTATCGATATTCGATACTTATCGATTTATATTGAATCGATTCCGCCACTTAGACAATTTCTGGTAATGATGCAATTGTTCAGTGAAGATACTTATTTAATACAAACTGCAAAAAGCAATAAAAAATATATTTTTAAAGATAATACTAAATAAGAATAAATTGTACTTTTTTTTCCTACCTATAATCGTCAATGTACTTTAAATACTAAAAAAAAGGTGGCAACCTTAGCTGTACCGCAGCCACGAACGGACGGTGTGTTGTTTTTTAACTATAACCGCGCGATTTTTCTCTTGAAATCAGTTCCAGTACATATTTAATATGACGAGTAGGAAATATTGTGCCGTTTTTGGTTGTATTTTTAATGCACATATTTTTCGGTCGCCGACAAGCCCGATTTGTTTTTCAAACAAAAACATTTTTTTTTTAATTAAATCTACGAAATAACAAACAACACGCATTTTTATTGAACACTCACTATTCAATATACAAAATATTTTATTTGTTTATATTAAAACTAGCTGTTGTCCGCGACTTCATTCGCGTGAAATTATTCATATTTCTTGTTAATTTATACTTTTTTGACGCGATAACGTGTTGATTGGCGAGGCGTCTTTGAGAGCTAGTATAAAACGGAACGTTAATTGTCTACTCAAGATTAGTCAAGATGGCGACTGCGGTTTGTCTGTCAGTGTCTTTAAAATAAATAAAACGAAATAATCTTCGTAATCCGAATTTTGCGGATATAATGTTGTCGACTCGAAATCGATATTTTTTTATGTTTTGTTATTCAGATAATGTTTCGATCGAGTCTAGCGTAACCATTGACGAAATTATTAATATAGAAAAGGATATTTACAATCACAAATCAGAAAGCAAATGTAACTAAAATACTGGAGACAGCCCTACCTAATGCATGTTTACGTACCGCGCGGCTGTACGTATTTAACTCTGTCTTGCGGCCGAGTTACACTACTGTATGATAATATTACTGTGACTTTGTACAACTTCATGTGTGATTTATTTTTTTTATACCTACCATTAGTCACAGAGCCGTATTATCCCCAAGGCAAATTAGGCAAGTGCAGGACACCAGGTTGTAACCAGTGCCTTTAGCCAAACGCCACTTTAGCGCTTGTCTACAGAGAGAGTAGAAATCAAAATGTATGGTGATGACACTGACAAGTGTCAAAATTTACGTCAATCCTTACTAATATTATAAATCTGAAAGTGTGTTTGTTTGTTTGTTTGTTCCACTTTCACGCCGTAACTACTAAACCGATTGCTTTGAAATTTTGCAGACGTAAAGTTAGAAGTCCAGAATAAATAATAGGGCACTTTTTATCCCGGAAAAATTTGATATTCCCGAGGGAAAACAAAAGTATTGGTATAGATGGCGCTGTGAGTTTTGCTATATGCCACATAGACTATTTATCCTTTTGTGACGCGAGCGAAGCCGCGGGTAAGAAGCGGCGGTTGTCTACAGAGAGAGTAGAAAACTAAATGTATGGGGATGACACTGACAAGTGTCAAAATTTACGTCAATTCCATATAATTTGGTTTTCTATTCTACAAGTTGACAAGCGCTAAGTGGCATTTGGCTACAGCTGCAGGGCCGCCGCGAGACGCGCGTGCACAACTGTCTATAGAGTGACGGCGGCGACAAAAACATTAGGGTGTTTATGAAGTGCTTGTCTAGGGCGTTGTCTAAGTTCAATCCGCCTCTGTTTAGACTTATACCGCATCGGTTGGCGCGGTGGCTGGGCAAACTGTTGCCGCTCAACATACAGCGGGTTAGATTCGCGAAGCAACTTATTGTGTGATTCCAGGGGGCTTACTCTTGAATCCAAGTCCGATTGATCGACATTGGCATTGTCAAATTTCGTACTCTTGAGTTGCAACACTAGCGCCCATTGCATTCGTATTGCGTGGACATTGAATGAACTAAATGGTATTGAGTTTGGTTTTATATTCCGTACTCTGAATGCTATTTTAACAGCCATACGATTGGGGTTGTATAGTTTTGACATTGAATAATTATTGAGGTTTTATTAGATTGAAATTGCATTGACATTGAGATTGGTTTCAAGAGTAAGCACCTAGGTCTGTATGTGTTGTGTAGGTATGTGAATTTGTATGTTTATAAACGCACCCACGACATAGGAAAATATCTTAGTATAACATAACATATGTTTAAATGAATACAAAAACATTATGTCTAGTGTATTTATATTTCTATAAAACTGTAATTTGTACAGATCAAATGTGAATTTATTTTGACCTACTAACATATAAACATACATAAAAACTAAATATATCTATCTAGACTAAAAAATATAGATAATAACACAATAATATTATTGTTAGTATGTAGATCTTATAAAGATAAATAAATTTAAATTACCTATAAACTAAATACATATATGTATATAAATAATGACTAAAAAGATAATGCAAGTTTCAGTGCTCTCATACAGCTGAAATTAATACAATAACTTTACATTAAATTTTAAATAACATCACGCCTTTTATCCCCGAAGGGGAAGGCAAAGTTGCACATTACGGCACTCAATGCCACTGCACAATGTACCACCCACTTTTCACTACTTATGTTATGAGTCCCATGTAATAGGGGGTGAGCCTATTGCCATATACCGGGCACAATTCCAGACACCATGCTACAACTGATTTTTTTTTGTTTAAAACCAGTATTAATTTGCCCGACCCGGGAATCGAACCCGAGACCCATGCCCGGCAGTCTCACTTGCGACAACTCGGCTAATGAGGAAGTAAACTAAGTTAATAGGAGAAAAATTCTAATTATAATTTCTAATTATAAGTTTAAAATCGCCAACCCGCATTGAGCAAGTGTGGTGATTAATACTCTAACCTTCTCCGTGTGATTAGAAGCCTTTGCAGCAGTCATTCATAGGCTGTTGATAATGATGATGACGACTTCTTACTAATATTATACAAACTATAATTATTGCAATGTTTATGAGTTCGTGTGTTTGTTACTGAATCACATCAAAACAGCTGAAGGGATTATAGTTCGGAATAACATATATACAGGCTACTTATATCCCACAGAACTATAGGCGAAGCCACTGGCAGAAGTTAGTTATACATAATTTTGTTTTAATATTTTCTGTAAAAAACCATATCGAGGGGTAACGGACTATTTGGTTTAAGCGACATTTTGGTCGATATTGAGTTATATATATATTCGGAATCAGCGAATTTTTCTCCGTCGAATATATATAATAACTGAATATCGACCAAAATGTCGCTTAAACCCAATATTCCGTTTCCCCTCGATATGGTTTTTTACATACTCGATATGTATTTCATTCAAACCATAATTGGGAAACTCAAGTATATTTTTCACCGATTTTTGATATTGCTTCAAAGGAGCCATTGTCACACAACAGATCATAATCCATAGAATTTGGATTGAGGTAGGTACTTAATTGAATGACTGCATGGTTGACACAGTGACTGGGCAACTGGCTACCACATAATGTATAGTAGGTGTGATTCTCACACGGAATAACTCTTTGTGTAATTTTACCCAGACCCGGAACAACACAGATTGTTGTGTATCTGAACTTGAATATATGTAAATGCACCCACGCCTACGCCAGGAGAAAATCCTAGTGTGGGGCAACATTTATTAAAACTAGAAATGCAAGAATTAATTTCAGCTGTAAGAGGCTTAAAAATGTAAGTGGTAGTGTTTTTGTAGAAATTAACTTAAGTATATTTATTCAATTTTTTGTTCTTAGATTGTAGCTTGTGCAATACCCAGTTAAATGTTACAAATATAGTAATAAAAACTTACAATTAAGGACATGGGTACTTAAAAATTAATGTTAAAAAAATATACTATTACATAGGTACATACCTCTTAAAACAAGATCTTAAATAATCCATGATTAATTTTTAACCTAATGATTTACTTAATACTTAAAATACACACACTTAACCGCCAAAAATCACAGATGATAAAATAAAAAAAGTTGACCAGGTTTAACATTCATCTATGGAAGGTAAACAAATATTTAAAGAAATTTTTATAGCCTACCTTGCATTGCAAAATTGTGCCAAATAAAATCGTACAAGGTAAAATATGTCTTAATCATACTACTTACAAGGTCTGAGGTTGTTCACATTGCCAATCGCTGGTGGAGCCTTCAGAATTTGGTGTTTCCTGGCGTTTGTTAAAGAAATAATATAAAGCTGCTCCAACTCCAACCCCGATGGCCGCAGCAGCGATGCCTAAACCACGACTTGGGCAGCTATTTTTCTGCCTGTCTTCCTCACGTACACTCATTTTGATTTATTTAAAAATACAACTGCGTATTAATAATATTGATGTCGTAAAATTATTTTCGTTTTGTCAAACTGTCAAATCAAAATGACAGAGTACCAACATTAGGACGAATGTTTTTCACATTTTTAAGCATTTATGTTGTGTTATTTTACAATTTCTATTTAAAATCAATGTGATGGATAAATGAATACGTTATTCAATATAATATTAGCTTAGGACTGCACATAAACAACATTAAAATTTTCGAATATAGGTATTAAAGAAATAAACATTACGTTTGTAATCATTGTTTACCGCGGCGAACAGAATGCTCGAAAATCGTAAATTCTAAAATGGTAGATGCTGGAACACGTTCATTGTTAGCGGTGCGTTCATTTTAAGTTTTAATTATATTATTTTATTAAATAATAATAATAAATCAAGTATTTAATCCATTGATTGTAGTCTGGTCACCATTTTAAAATATATAAATCCTTTATATTTCACGGGGAGTCCCTAGATTGTATTGTAAGTGCGTCATTAATTTAATGTTGTCTTTGTTGTCAGTTGGTGTACCTAAGTATATGCAGTTGCAGAACCACATTGCTGTAGACGATAATTATATATAGTGACTTCATAGTGTTCATACCTACTATAAAGTCCATAAATTAGAGAGAAGCATTTTCTACGCCCGTCTCTTAAAAGAAAATAAGAAAGGTACTTCTACTACAAGAGAAAAATAAAACATTCTACTTGTACAAAAATCAATTTATTTTATTTAAGTAACGAGTATAAATATACAAAATCATTCCACAATTTGTTCTCTAAATATTCTTATTAATTAAAGTTACATAAGTACGTATGTAGAATACAAAAACATGTTTTTTTTATTTTATCTATGAATACCTTTTTTTTAAACGCTGTCCCGCACATGGCAGCCCCTTGCCCAGCCACTGCATTAGCCCGTGGCCGTGCAGTTTTTATTAATCGACTGCAGAAAAAAGGTTCTTAGTTTGACCTATAGGTTTGTATGTATGTTTGTGCGGGATTATCTCACGATTGGCTGAACCCATTATTGTTTCGTAAGTGTAAGGAAAAAGTTTTGGTATTTTTTTAAGGGGTTAAAGTCATCGATTGACTGCTCCCGCCTGGGTGAGGCGGGAGGGAGTGTCAGACCCTTTCTGACTGAAAACCACCCCGTTCCTTCTCCTGCACGTCGAGCCGGAGCCCCGGTAACCCGTTAGGTTCTCCGCGACCTATTAATTAACCGACTTCAAAAAATAGGAGATTGAAGTCGGTATTTTTAAACGTAGTTTATAATAGTAAATGTATTTTCTTTGACTAGACTGAAGCGCCTGAGGCGCAACCCAAAGGCGCCTTTTATATTTTTTGGCGCTACCCTCACTCTATGGGCACACGGGTTTTGCGGCGTCTTCTGTGGCCTTGCGCGGCCTTAGGCACTTGCTTAGTTTTTTTTAAGGATAATTCTTCTCTGTGTCTTATGTAAATCAACCGCGTCGTCGCAGTAGACAGCCACTGCTTTCTATAATCTTCCGACATTTTTTCTTTTAAATCGCTAATTATTGTAACAAAGTTTGTAAGGTCATCCTCCATGGCAGTATGTAAATGGTTTTTTATTTTTAAATACAATTCTTTACTGAAATCGTCAGGATTGTAAGCGTAAAGTCCCGTGCCCTGTGTCAATAATAGATCAAAAATTATTTCTACATGCTCATTTACTATTGCTTTCACGATATTGTCCGTTTTTAATCTGTAGCTAAACATTTGGCGCACGTTTATGTCGCATTTTAAAAATACGATATTTAAAATGAAATTCCAAATCTTTCGTTGACTTTCTGTAACTGAAGCCGATTTTAATGACTGACAAATATATTCGACTGCGAAATATTCTGTAAAAGTCATATGTATAAATGTCGGTATATTGTTAACGATGCTATGTACTAATCCAGTCTTTTCCGCGCCAATTTTAATATTCTCTATGGTTTTTCTAATTTTAGATAATTCTTTTTCCTCAAATATTTTGCTGAGGTCTTGATTAAAAACAGCATAAGCACCTAATTTGTAATGTTTCGCGAAGAAGTCCTCTCTGATTTTCTCATAAATCGTCAAATTGTCGGGATTGTATAAATCGATTTTATTTTTCTCTTGGAATCTTATGTTTTTGAGTTTAGTTTCAATAAATTTGTCGTAAACTGTAAAAGCGTTTATGTCCAAATTCCATCTGTTCGGCATTATACTTTCGTCATTGACTTGGTTTTGGAAATAATTAGCGTTCAGGTAAAGATGTAACGGAGTATCAAAACGTTCCACGAAACGAAAAGAATGAGTGCAGTCGTGGAAAAATAAGTTGAATGTTTGTACCACATCATCGGGACAGATGTTCAGTTCCTTCCTTAAATAGTGTAAAAAATTGAAGCAAACTTTCAAAAACAACAGTTGATACTTTTCTTTTTTTTTAACACCGGCCATGGTAGTATTTCTCCTATCAGAATTATAATAATAGTTTGACATAAACTCCATAAAGCTACACAAGTTACTGCATTGCTGTTTGTTCAAATTCCTAAATATAATCGTTGATTGCCAATATTTCCACAAATATTCATCGAATTCGGTTTCGTTGAAAGCTTGCAATTCATATGGATATCCGAATTCTTGTTCCAATCCTGACATGACCCTTTCGTAAAACCTACACGTGATCCACATTTTATGTTTATTTGTGTAATTCCGTACAACTTTTAATAAGGACATTACTTCTTCTGTATAGAGCGGACATATTTCATCGAAACCATCGAATAAAAAGACAAGTTCCTTCCTGTTAAAATAGTCTAGGAACATTTTTATTTCAAACACTGTCCACGGATCGTCTATACGACACGATTTTAGATGTGCTTCACCATTCGATTCCTCTAAATCGAATTCTAAGTCATTTTTTTTGTCCCCTCCAACAATAATAGGACATAAAAACTTCAAAGTTACCAAAACATCAATTTTCACTTTGTTTTCTTGCCATTTATTGAATATTTCACAATGGTCGAGCAAATTGACTCGCACTATCCAAGTTTTTGGGTTTGTCTCTTTAGTTTTAATAGACAAGTGGGTCAATAGAGTTGACTTTCCCATACCTGGCTTTGCTGTCAATAGGACAACATTAGACAAGTCATTCAGATTGGATAGTACTATTTGTTTAGGAATAAAATACCTGGCCTTTGCTGCCTCACACACTATACACATCCTTCTGTCCACATAAAGGTGTTTAACTTTTTCATAATTTAGATTCGTAACTGAGTTACCAAAACATCTTGTTTCATTATTAATAAAGTCATTAAGAAAAACTCCTTCGACGGTTTGCATCGCTTCCTCGTCAACGATTGTGTCTAATGTCACTTCGACATCTTGAAAATGTACTTTTGCTTGTAATACAGTTTTCTGTGACTTCTCACTCATGTCTGAAAGATTACATCTGTCATTTTTAATTTCCTTGATACCTGAAAAATATATCTGGAGCGTGTCTAGCAAAGCTGTGTTTGTGACGATAATTATCCGTTTTTCATTCAAAATTTTTGAAATATTTTCCAATCTTTTATTTGAGCTTCTTTGTATGTTGTCGCACGCTAGTATTATTGTTTTATTTTGCTCCATTTTTGTTAGTTCGGCAATAAGTGTGGAGTAGTCTTTCGTTTGAAGTAGATCTTCTAAATCCATGACAGTATGTTTGAATTTATTTAAAGACTGCATCATTTTTACTACTGTCAAAGGAATATTCTCCGTTACGAAAATTACGTGTGTTAATTTTTCTGTCAGATTCGATGATTTGACAGCTTGATCATTGAAAGTTATTTCAAAAATATTCCCCATTTTCATTGCGTACATTTTACTAAAGACTGACAAAAGAGGTTTGTCTACAATCAACTTTAGGGCGTCTTCGTAATGTGAACTATTTTTCGTGATATATTCCGCCTCCTTTAACATCCACCATTGTTGTATTTGGTCGTGGTATTGTAAGAAAATGGCGTCGGCTGTCACTTTGATACTGTCAACGTTTAGACATTGGTGATCTTCGATTTCGTCTTTTAAACATTTCTCGACGCCTTTCTCGTCAGCTTGGTTAGTGTAAAACAGAAGTCTGTTCAAGAAATCTTTCGCCAAATTTTCATCATCTTCATTTCTTTTGAACGAGAGCTTTGGGAATCTTTCGACGTTTACGTTGAATTTATATTCATGTAAGTTGGGAGTTTTCCTGTGCAGTTTTGTGAACAGCCTTTTGGAAGTATCTTCTAGTGATTCCCAACTGGCTGTAAATTTAAATAGGTGCGTATCTTCGTCGAGTACTAAAATATTCCCAACAATGCCTGCTATACCTCCATTGAGCTTTAGGAAACCTTCTCCTAAAGACTTCCCAATAGAAACAACTTTATCGTCCCCTGATTTACTCATCAGTTCACATAGTTTCATTTTCAAATGATCTAATCTTTTTTCTGCTTTACTTTTTTTAAGTTTGATGTCTTTGTTTCCGAAAGCGGTTGAGACTTTAAACTCTCGTTTCATTAGTATTGTCTTTGCAATCACATTTATAGCATCGTCTTCTATTGACTGAAGCATATCCAACGAGTCTTCAAGTTCTTTGTCATGTAAATTCCGTCCTTTTAGTATTTCAGAATATAAATGTCGTTTAAACAACACGAGGGAATCTTCTTCTGACTCAAAGAAATCCTGTTGGAATGTCGCTAGTCTGTACGCATCGTCATCTTCGCCAATAATATCAGAAATGTCCAATACTTTTCGTGCAAGAACCACGTGGTATCGTCGTAAGATAACAGCAGTCATTGGCATCACAGAATCAGTGTTTTTATTCAGAAATGTAACAATAGTTGTCGCGAGAGCTGAAATATCATCTTCTATTAAATCTATCTTCTCAAACGAAAGCACTGGAAATGTTTCAACTTCTAAACTAAATTTAAAATCTTGTAAATTTGGTATTACGGATTGTAGTTCAGAAAACAGCTGTTTCGCAATGTCACCTAGTGTTTCGGTATTGTCTGAGAATTTCATGTATTCACTATTTTGGTCTGCTATTAAAAT